ATGTAATACCATATATGGTGTGTAGGTGTTGTTACCGCTGTGCATGCTTTGTATACATATGGTTTCTTAATTACATATGAAAAACATCCGAGACGTTCAAATCGCCAACCGTGCTGTTAAAAATGCTTCATTTTAATACGGGCGTATTTAAATTGAATATATCCCTAGTTTTATTACTTTTCACTTGATTTAAATACGAACATTTTTAAACGGTAATCAAATAAAAGATTTTCATTTTTACAACGCGTTTTTTTTTCTTAGTGTAAAAAGATACTGGTAAATATTTTACAGAATTGGTAGATTTTTTCAAGTGAATGGTAAGTATTTTTTATCGCAAGTGGCAACCCTGCGCAAACTGGCACGTTACAGCATCGCCGTTTCTTCGATATATCTCTGATGAGATAATAGCAGCCAAATCTCTAATTTTCCTTGGCACACACAATTTGTGGAGACAGTTAACATAGTTAACGCTTTATAACTTCCGATGGTATTATTTTTATTTAATGCAACATTATTTAGATAATAAGGACTACAATAACACTGTACAGCACTCGGCTGGGTATTGGACTGAACAACTTTTTTTAAGAAATTGAGTCATAAGTAAAAAAAAGCCGTTTCTCCGTTTTTCGAAGTTAGGCTCCGAAACCGAGATATGGGCCTTCGAAGTTCGAAATTGGACCTTTGGAAAAAACTATTTTTAATTATTGCATGTAAAAAGCAAAAAAAGTAAGTAAACAAATAGACGTGGTCCGCCTTTTTTTCTTATTTATATTGTATATAATTTTTTTTTTAACTTATATTGCAGGTGCTATAACGGGTCAAAGATCGGATCTTCGAGAAACTAAAAACTTAATATATCAGAAACCTTTGAACTGATTTTTAAAAAATTCATATCACTGTGAAGGTGATTTAATCCCCTTTCTTGTGATATGCATATGTGTATACTTCGTATATAAAAATTTAAGAAAAAAAAGATTTAAATGAAAATACTTTTTTTTGTATATACAAATTACTTCAAGCAAAAAAATTAATAACTGATTTTAAAAAACTTTGTATCGATGTAAAGACGATCAAACCCAGAGTTGGGCAAAATTTATTCGAATGACGAATAACAAATGAATAAATTGTTTTTCTTGTTATTCGTAAATAATAAATAATTTTGGTTATTCAAAAAAAAAATTATTCGAATGACGGATAAATTATGTTATTCGTTATTCGAATAATTATTATCTTCATTCATTATTCGAATAACGAATAAAATAATAATAAAACAAGTAATTTATGTATATAGATATGTACATATATTTATGTATAAAATGATAACCGTTTTCGTTGTTGTGATTTAACTCAAACCCCTAGATAGATTTAAATCAAATTTTCGGAGGTTATTCCATGCGCATTAAGTCCTATTAAAGGCTACTAGAAAACTCCTTTGTGGCGATGGAGCCGAGTTACTTATAAAAGCCGTATTTATGAACTGATTTCGTTCAAATTCAAAATGTGTTCTCCTGCATGATGAAAAATACTTATGCGAAAAATGGACCCGCTAAGTGGTGCTACAGTTGAGTTATTTAGAAAATCCCTACATATTGTACAATCAGGTTGCAATTCATAATGGTGCTGCAGTCGAAATCTTTAGAAACCCCATATGTCTGAACTCCTTTGTTTTTTATGTTTATATTATACGAATTTACGATGTCCCACGTCATCATATACCCTAAATGCGACCTTGCATCTACCTCCGCTTGATGAAATTGCTCGGGCGGCCATTGCTGCAGCAGTAAGACTCAAGGAAACCAGCTCTTGGATATTTTAAAAGTGGCGAATCAGCAAGGAAAGTTTCGACCACATCCTTCCAATTCCTATATCAATGGCCAAATTTTACATCGAGGACGCACATCTGTGCTCTTCAGCATCCTTATAAGGACTTTTGTTGGCCTACATGACATAAGACTAGAGGTTGACGCATCGGACCAATGTTGTAGTTGCAAGATCATAGAAGAAGATTACGCACGCTTAGAAAAGATCTCACAAGTGGAGGTAAAGCTCATGACATTGAAAGGAATTTTTTCTTGCATAAAGCATCAGAGCGCTATTTTTTTGGCAGAAATATGTGTGAGAATTTTTACTTTACCCATATTTGGTTTTCAATGCTATTCTTGCATTGGCCAACGCAAAAAATCTTATCAGGGGCCGCGAAACCATAGGGAATGGGCTAGTATTCTTGATAAAATAGTAAACAAAATTCAGCTAACTTACAATCCTTGACAATAGAAATAAAAGTAAAAGGTGGCTCAATGTGTTAAAAGTTAGTTTTTATTCATTATTTAAAATAACGAATAAAATAACGAATAAATTATTCGCAAGCAATTTATTCACGAATAATTTATTCGTGAATAAGTTATCTGCGAATAATTATATTACGGATAAAATTTTATTCGAATAATTATCTAAATAACAATTTATTCGAATAATGCCCAACTCTGATCAAACCCCCTTTCTTCGTATATGCATATTTGTATACTGCGTTAATACAAATTTGAGAAAAACACTTAAAATGAAAAAACAACTTTGTTTATCAAAAAATATTTAAACAAAAAAATTACTCACCGATTTTTAAAAGGTTGGCATCGTTATTAAGGAGATTAAACCCCCTTTCGTCTAATATGCATATTTGTATACTTCGTATGAAAAAATTTAAGAAAAACACTTAAAAGGAAAAAATTCTAATTTTTTCTTATAAAAAAATTTGACAGATAAATTACTAACTAGTAATACAATTGAATACCGCAATTAAATAATACAAGTAATTATTAGTGTATTAAGCATTAATTCGCTCTTGTTCACCCACAGCTCTGTTAAAAATTAAGCAAAAGTATATGTAACAGAAGTCTAAGGCATGTAAAAATATAAAAACACCATGCTTTTTGATCCTTTACATAACAGGTTATATATAAAAATTAAAGGTAATTTTGTGTTATTTAAATAAAGTATTAAATTGTATTACTAATTAGTAATTTTTTTGTTTAAAATATTTTTTATAAGAAAAATTAGTATTTTTTCCGTTAAAGTGTTTTTCTCAAATTTTTATAAACGAAGTATATGCATATCAGAAGAAAGGAGGTTTAATCACCTTTACAACGGTACCAATTATTTCAAAATGGGTTGGTAATTTTTTTGTTTAAAATATTTTTGTTTTAATAAAATAAGTATTTTGTTCTTTTAAATGTGGGTTTTCTCAATTTTTATATACGAAGTATACAAATATGCATTTCAGAAAAAGGGGTTTAATCGCCTTCACAGCGATACCAATTTTTTATAAATCGGTTAGTATTTTTTTTTGTCTAAAATACTTTTTTTTTTATAAAAAAAGGTATGTTTCCTTTAAATGTTTTTTTTTTTTAATTCTTATATACGAAGTATACGAAAGGGGGTTTAATCTCCTTTACAACGATAACAGCCTTTTAAAAAGCAGTAAGTAATTTTTTTGTTTACATTTTTTTATAAATAAAACTAATTATAGTTTAAAAAACTAGAACATACCTATTATAATTGCCATTCGTACTGTCATCAGCTATGTACCTTGAGAATAGAAATCGCTGCATCTTTTAGGCGCATCAATATTACATAGTTACATCCCGAGTTAATAAAAGGAAGGTAAAAAGGGGGTTTTTTCCTTTAAATGTGATTTTTCTCAAATTTTTATATACGAAGTATACAAATATGCATATCAAATGAAAGGGTATTTAATCATCTTAACAACGATACAACTTAAAAAAAAATAGTAATTTTTTTGTTTAAATATTTTTCTTTATAAAAAAGGGTATTTTTTAATTTGAATGTGGTTTTTCTAAAATTTTTATACACGAAGTATACAAATATGCATATCGGAAGAAAGGGACTTAATCACCTTTACATCGATATAGATCAGTTCAAAACTGTTTGAAATATAAGGTTTTTAATTTTTCGAAGACCCGACCTTTGACCCCTTACAGCACCTGTAATATGAATCTGCACAAAAAAGCTTATATACCATAGGTTTTTAGTTATTTACATGCAATAATTAAATATCATTTTTTACCAAAGGTCCTATTTCGAACTTCGAAGGTCATATCGCGATTTCGGAGGCTAACTTCGTAAAACGGAGAAATAACTGTTTCACCTATGAAACAATCTCTAAAACAATTGGTTTGGTCCAATACCCAGAAAAAAAGTTGATTTTGCCGCACAGTGTAATCCGTGCAGTGGGCCTACCGGTGAAACCATGATTAAAAATTGCGCCAGTATACTACCTCAAGACCACAATTTTTTAATCGCTATATCTCAGATATGGTACAACAGTATATTTTGCTTTGCTGTCTTTGTGCTTAAGTGCACATTTAAGATACCTATTTACCCCAAAATGCGCATAAGCGGCATTATTTTAAACAGTTATAAGGAAACTGCTCCGATACACATTCAACATACCTGCACATTAGCAATACTTGCCTTAAAAATTTGCAACTATTATCAATTATCAAAGGAAGTATTACGTTTACCTGGACTGGCTCTACACTTACCCTAATTTTACAAGCTTTTATTTGTTTTGCTCATCTTGAAGAACAACGAAAACGGCTTTCATTTTATGTAGTTATATAGATTATTAGATATCATTCGGAAAAATTTGGCTTGCAGTAATTTCTACGTGTCAAGTGCTCCTCCATTATTTGGTTTCATAAGGATTCGGATACTTTTATCATTGAAGTAGTAAAGAAAATTCAAAGCAAAATATACTGTAGTTCTTAGGAACAAAAGTGTCATAACAGTTTTTTAAGATATGTAATAGCATAATCTACTTTTTTGTCTAACCTATGTTTAGGATAAACCTAACCGTTTGGCTGAAATTTGCAAAAAAAGCTTATTTATGTGACCTTTTGCGTTGATCAAGTTTTTTTTACAGATGTGGGATTTATTGAGCTAACTTGACTGGGCTTAATGTACAATTATGGAATTATACTTACGTCTATAATTTTTGCTACAAAGGTATATGATCCTTCCACATCTGGCCAATCTAGTTGCTGCCAGAATGTCTTTATTTGATAAAATATCGCAAGAGTATCCACTGCAGATGAACTATATTTCACTGTGTCATCGACAGCTTGCAATCGGTCCAACTCAATGGCTTTATCAATTCGATTTAATGCCTTAACAATTGAAATGCCGAGCCAGTGGGTAACACCAGTCATAAACCAACAATGAAATTTTTCTAGTGCTAGGTCTTCATTTGGACATAGACATTTACCTAAAATAAATAATTTTTAAAGTTAAAACTGGTTTCTAGAATTATTAGAAAAGAGAGTTCGCCATTAATATCCGTTATATTAGTAACATTTAAAACTAGGATCTGTGCAGCGAATATTTCGACACCTGAGTGGAAGATCGACCTATCTCGGCTGCCAGTTCAAAAACGCCCTATTTCAGAATTTTATTGAAAAACACAAAACACCCTATCCCAATATTTGGTTGAAGAATGCCATATCTCAGAACTCGGTCCAGAAACGCCCTATCTCTAATGAAAATGTATTGAAATGTTCTGCGATAAGGCGTTTTTGAAGTTTTCTGAGATAGGGCGTTTTAGAACTGTCTGCCGAGATAAGTAGGTCGATCTTTCAATCAGGTGTCGATTCGTTTTCTTTTTTAAATTGTTTTCTTCTCTTCTTTAATTTAATATGTTTTTTTTTAATTAATTTGCCTTTAATTTGTAGATATTACTGTTTTTAAAAGAAAATATGTTTTTATGTCATTTAATTTTTATGATATTAATGTTTATATAAAAAAATACCTCGAAAATTTTATTTCAAAATTTTAATGTAGTTGATTGTATAATCCTTACTAATACATATATGTAAACTAAATGGTTCCATTTGAAAAGACAATCTTAATGAATAGCCAAATATAAATTTAGTTTAGTGAGTAGAGTGGATTACTAAACTTAAATTTTTTGACTTGTTTTCATGCAAATAGAGGAATATTAACAGGAAATCGACACCTAAGTGGAAGATCGGCGTATCTCGGCAGCCAGTTCGAAAACGCCCTATTTCAGAAAACTTTTCAAGAACCCTCTATCTCCCCCCCCCCAGGGCCGGATCGCGGGCTCGATTTTTTTTTGGGGGGGGGGGGGGGGAATCAAAAATTTTTTACATTCAGGTATGATAGACATTTTATTTTATTATATTATATATTATTTGTAAATGAATTATATTTTTATAAATCATATGTTTTGAGTCATATAATAATATACGGAGAAATAAAATTTTGGTACATACGAATATGTACATTTGTGTATTGTGTTGCATGTACACTGCAGAAGTTTACCATTACACGAATTACAGAACTATTCTGTGTGCTCCCAGATTCGCGAACCGTTCGATGATATCTTCTGGTTTCACTTCGATGTCATGATGAATATTAAGTAGTGATAGGCCGACCAATCTTTGTTGAAGCATGGCCGTTCTGAGCCAAGTTTTCAGACGACGTAGTGTTGAAAAAGAACGCTCGGCGCTTGCATTGGTGACACACATTGTACATAGAATTCTGAGCAAAGCGTGAATGGTTGGATAAACATCTTGTCACAAAGTTCTAAAGTTTCCAATGCAGTTAGCGGTATTTCAGAGTTTTCCTTAGAAATGTTGGTTGTCTTCTGTTTCCAAAAGTATTGCCAGTGGGTCATTTCTCCTTTAAGTCTAAGGTAAAGAAGTTTTTCTGCTTCCTTCAAAAGATTGCAGAATCGTTGTATCAAACAATTAATTAAATGTGTAATTTCATTCGATGTCAAATCCTTAATATTCTTCGGGAGCAATGAACATAATTGAAAGCCCTCCAGGATTTCCTGAGAAAATCGAGTTTTCAAGTCTTCTATAATATTTTCCAGAAGAGGAATGTACATGGAGACTCGGAAGAAATCCTCACAATTAGATGTGTCGTAATTTTCACGTCTCACTTGCCTACCAGTTGTTCTTGGTTTCTTTACTTCTATGTTTAATTCTTCTGCCAATTTCGTTGCATCTGTAAATATTTGCTTGAACTTTTCTTCGACCTCTTGCCTTTGATCTGCCAAAACTGAAATTAGAGATTCAATTTTTTGGGAGGGGTTTGCAAAATCCATGTCGCCTTTTTGAAGGGATACACTAAGGGGGCGTGTCAAAGATAAAACATCACTTAAGCAAAAAAGCCCAATAACGAAGTCGAACGAGCTCAGAGCAGCGATAAGTACTGTTGCTTTACCAGCCGTTTCCCTGTTGTTCCACTTACATACTTTATTCAACGCCTCGATAATCCTTGGAAAGTCTGCGACGAACTGGAGTACAGAGTCATGTCGCTCGACCCATCTTGTATCGCATAAACTCTTAAGTTTGTGTCCAAGTATTTTTGATAATGCTGTTGAACGTTTAGGATTTGCGTTCTGGAAGAATTTTGTTACCTCTCGTATTATGTTGGAAACTTTCTGAATTAACTGAATATTAGAAGATTTCATGAGACTGCTGTTGAGCTTGTGGGACATGCACAGTACCATAGCAGCGTTTTTTGCTTCTTTTTTGATTTCATTGACTGCTCCACATTTTTCCGAAATATTGACGGCACACGCATCAGCCCCTATCGAGATACAGTTTTCTAAATTCAAATTTAGTTTCTTCATTGCCTTCAAAACAATGTTTCCTAGAGCAACCCCGGTCAGTGATAATTCTACGTCGTCTTCCTTATCTTCACCCTCTCTATCAACATCTTCACCCACTTCATCAACATTACAACCCTCCTTATTAACTTCTTTGGACATTTCGCCAAAAGCATCTATGAAATCTACGAAATATTCCCTCACACAAGGTCTTCTAGAAGAAACGTCGATATACCGAAGTATTAGACTTATCTGGACATTTAGTGAAGGCGCAGGAAAAGCGACGAAAATATGAGTTAATAGACACATTTTTAACTGTTAGAAATATCTAGAAAATTAGTTACCTGTGCTTTTCCTGATAAATCTGAAGTTTCATCAAATTCTATGGAGTAGAATTCCGCATCAGTTACACGTCGGACAATTTTTTCTTGAATGTCAACTCTGCAACAATCAATAAGTTTATCTTGGGTTGTTTTACTGATATAAGTCGCGACTGATGAAGCAATTTTTAGACCATTTTCTAGTGTTGTATCTCCTGATTCAATTTGATATTTCAGCAGTTCACGAAAGTTTCCTTCATTTCGTACATGAACTGATTCTGCTAGAAGTGGCCCGTCATCACCTGTCCCACGAAATGCTATGTTTTGCCTTCCCAGAAAAATAACTGCTCTTACAATGGACTTCAGAAATTTTCTGTTCTCTAGACGTTTAGATAGATAATCATCATTTAAGATATTGTGGACTTTGAATTGGGGATTGTGATAATTCTTCAGAAAATCCTTGGCTGCAGCTATTGCATTCTTGTGGTAAATATGTTGAGAATGGTTTTCAAGATCTCCCGACTTGCCGACTAGTTTCTTGAAGTTAACCAAGGGTTGCGAAACGAGTACACCTAAGGGTGTATTATTTTGGTAACCTCCTACATTGTGCATCGTAAACCATGGGCAGTATTTACAATAGAGCCCTTTTTTTGCATCAGAAAAAACGAGCCATTCCCTGTAATCAGCTAAATGTTTATGCGCCACATAATGTTTTATCTCTTTGCCTGAAACTGTTCTCCTGGAGAAAGGAAATGTGTAATTATTCGATGGTATCCAAGGCTTCTCCAAGAGTTCTCGCTTCACCCTATCGCTTATCTTCGGTCCGATAAAATGACCTATGTCGCTTGAGAATTCTGACATAACTAAGTTATTACTTGCGCCTATAGAATACGATGAGCTAGCGCTGATTAAGTCGGTTACGGATGAACTCTGAGCTTCTTGTCCTAATGTAGTATTACTTTCTGAAGAAGTATCCGAAAGTTGATTTTCGTCAGCATGATTCGTTTGATCTAAAGAAACCTCTTCTACTTTTTTTTTCTTGAGAGGTTGAAAAAAAGTTGAAATCGAAGGCTGCCGGTGAGACTGAAAAACGAATTCCATGAAAATTCCTTCATCAGAAGTTATTTTTCATTTAATTTCACTACAGAATGCAAGAATAAAATGTTGATTCTATTTTTCATGCACTAACGCAATCGTTACAACAACACAGCTCACCACTCGTAAAAATATTATTTCATGGCTTTGAATTTGAACTTTGAATTATTTGTTGCCAAAGCAGTGCGAAATATGAAATTCCTGAGGCTTGCAAGCACATGTTATGTATGTACATATGTATGTACTTACCATTTTCTATATATTTACAAACGCTTTAACAAGTAATATATTCCAAGCATTGAGCACCTCAGGATCAGCAACGATGAACAATAATTATTTTTGAACAAATTGACCGCACAGCATTTAGATAAAATACAACTGAACACGAAAAATAAAAGGTTATATGGTTTTGAAATTACTGTCATTGTTGCGTTCGGTATACATACATATGTACATACATACGTGAATATACGTGGGCATAGCTGGTATACGCTCTTCATGTGTAAGAAAATACAAATCGTTTTGTTTGCAATCTTTTGCTTTGCAAAGGTACTGGTTCTGGTCATTCGTGAAATGCTTCGTTTGTTTTTGAACTCTGGTTGTTATGCAATGCTTTTGTTCTTGCTTTGGTCTTGAAAAGAAAATAGTGACAGCACCAGCAAAAGCATTACTTTGCAGCACCAACGGGAGGCTGCTGTTGCCAACTTGGTTCTATTAGCACTAAATTTGTTGTTGAGTTTGGCGCATTGTGCGGTTTTGCCGCTTTTTGTTTTAGTTTGGAGACACCAAATCTGTAAATCTTAAAAAAATGTAAGCAATATTTATAGCATTCGTAAGTTTTGTAAGCAACTTTACAAAAATGGAAACAAAATCATCGACTGGATCGGATTTGGGGGGGGCGGCGGAAATTTCCCCCATTCCCCCCCCCCCGTAGATCCGAGAAATATGGCGTTCTTCAATCAAATTCTGAAGTAGGGCGTTCTTGAAAGGTTTTCTCATATAGGGCGTTTTCGAACTGGCTGCTGAGATAGGTCGATCTTCCACTCAGGTGTCGAAATATGACTACTATTTTTTTACTACGAAGATATCTATCACAGGCGTATAAAAAATTAATAAATGTGATGTAAATACATATTGTCGCCCTTACGCCAGAAACATGAATGTGCAAATTTATCAATTGAGTTATTGGGTTGACTTGATTAAGCTGTGAATGTC